CAGGGTCGCTATGGGTCAGAACCCGACAACACTTAATAACAACAACAACTCTACTTAGCAAGGTAAAGAATGTACAGATTCTTTTTAGACATGAACCGTATGTTGTAGCATAGAGCTAACATGCATATTCCTGAAATAAAACTGGCAAAGCACTTTGGGTCCTTCCCCCTTATCCTAGCATGTGCAGGAACTTTAAGCTCACAGCTGATGAGGAATCCAAAACCATCTGTCTGTCCTGTGCCTTCTAATGTTTCCTGAGATGAATACATGCCTGTAGTTTAAAATGGTCCCTAATATTATGAAAGTAAATGTATTAATAAATAAGCTGAGTTACCATTTTTTATTGCATGTCAATCAGTCTCCTCTGTGTGACAAATGGCTCATCAACAGGACTGTTGTCCCCCGTTGCCTGGTGATGCGGTAGCCCCTGATTACTCTTAGCAGATAGGCCACAGCAGCAGGAAATGATGGAAGGTAGAACTGAGCAAGCAGGCAAAATATTCTTCACAGCAAACACACAGTTAAGGAAACGGAGTGCATTCTGCACCTGGTTGGTCCACTTGGAACTGAGTACCCCAAGATTCTGGGCTCAGACCTTAAGCAATAGGAGGGATCTGGATGGGGCATGCATACATAATTTTAAAGTGGTAGTACACCTTATCCATTAATCCAAAGTTGCCCTACCACTCCTGTCCTCTCTCATGCACCTAAATCCTTCTTTTTAAACTTATTATTGTGAATTGAGCAAAGGTTTACAAACAAATCATCAGCTTTACATTCAACAAATCATACACTCTGTTTCATCTCCATATTTATAATCCCCTCCAAGCAATACTAGTTACTCTGCTTCCTGTGATTCCTACTTGCATTCTACCCACCTCCCTAACGCTTCTCAACTGTGTCCTTAGAAAAATGTTGCCCTTGTGAATTTGAATGGTTAGTTGTGTTGTTATCCCCCTCTATAAACCAATTTACTGCTTTTTGTTTTTCACTGAAAGTTGGGCCAGGAGGGTAAGTTTGTTTCCAGATCTTGAGGGGGGTCAAAAGCCATTGTCTCAGGTTTATCCAGTCTCTTTCTGACCAGTAAACCCAGTTTATTTGTTTTGTTTTATTAAATAATTTTGAGTTTTGTTTCATATTTCCTCCTAGTTTATCTGGGACCTTCTCTCTAATGCTTTCAGGGCAGATGACACCTAAGTCCTTTTAATTTGCTAATCAATCTGTCTTGCCCCTATCTGACAGTGACACAATGAGTAATTTTCAAAATTCTTTCACTTTCCTGAGTTATCATTGAGATTTCTATATCCTTTAAAAATTGATAGGTTATCTGAGCGACACAAACAGTTAAGTTTTGGAAAACTAGTCAAAAGGTTGACTGTTCAAATCTACCCAGAGGAGCCTTGGAAGACAGGTCTGGTGATTGAAAACCCTATGCATACATGGGGTTTTCATTAATTGGAATGAACTCCACAACAACTAATAATAACACTATATTGAGGTCCTACTAGCTTGGACCATTGATGGAAGTTTCTGCTGACCATTCAGCAGTTGCTAACTCTTCACTCCAGGATAATCCACCAAACCCACTGATAAAGTTAACTCATAGTGACGCTGTAAGACTTAGTAAAACTGTTCCCATAGTGTTTTCAAGACTATATTCTTTATGGAACATCTTTCTCCCACGGAGTAACTGGTGGATTTGAACCACTGACCTTTTTGTTAGCAGTCAAGTGCTTAACCGCAGTGCCACCAGAGCTCTTTCTTACCCCAGAATGGTGGTGACCCTTTATAGAGTTCCTGAGACTGTAAATCTTTACAGTAGCAGAAAGCCTCTTCTCCCCAGGAACAGCTGGTGGGATTGAACTCCTAACCTTGTTGTTAGCAGCCCAACATGTAACGCATTATATTCCAGGGCTCCTTACCCCAAACACTGTCTCCTAAATACACATGCTTCTTTAGGTTATGAGACATATCTGATACTACCTCTGAATGCTTTGTTTGGGAGACAACGAATTTCAATTAAGTTACAGAAACAATGGTATTGCTGAATTTTTAGCTGTGTAATTATAGAGTTCTGATGTGGCACTGTGGATTAATATGATGGACTGTAAAGTTGGTTTGAACCACAAACTTGTAGGTTCAGGCTTACCAGCTATTCCTCAGAAACTCCGTACAGGTTCTCTATGGGTAGGAACCAACTCAACAGCATTTAGCAACAACAGCAAGGATATGGGACTCCTGGTGTGGCGCTATAGGATCAGAACTGGACTGAATCACAAAATCAACCCTACCAGCTACTCCTTGGAAACCATAAGCTGGGTCATTATGCGTCAGAACCAACTCAAAGCTACTTAACAACAACAATTGGATATTAATATGGGAGTGGTTCTATAAGTGTGTTTGCAGTCCATTAGATGCACTCACTATTACACCCAAAGCTCTCTTTGTTTTCTCCTATCTGGGATATCTCATCCTAGGTGAGACATATTCTAAACACAGTGTATTCCTAGGTTTCCATTTTTATCTTAAAATGAAGAACTGGTTTGGGAAACTACTAGCTGTTTGTGACCGTATTGTTTATAAGTTAACATAAAAAAAAAAAAAAAGTTTAGAAATGAAAGAGAGTAGTTTTATGGTGGTTCTTGTTAGTAAGACAGTCAAAAAAACAAAATAAATTGTTAGGTTTTCTTTCATTTCTCTACCATGAGAGACCCAGAAACTGTAGCTCTTTTATTTATCAGTTTTATCAGTTATAAACAGGTGCTTCTGTAGAAACTTTATGTTTAAACTTTTGTCAAAATATCCTATTCTGTACATGTTGAGTATCACTTTCTTTTGTCTTAATTAAAAGCAAATTACAATGTGGAAGGAGACCCAAGAATCTGGGAAAACATGCTCGGCAATATATAACATGAATGTGACAAATATATTATTCAAGCCAGTTACAGAACATGTGATTAATCTGCTTTCAAAGAAATTATATGTTGACTGTGTGTCTTTATGCCTTGTGAATATAAGCACTAACTAACTTTTTTCAATTGTGTATATCTGTTTTCTGGACATTCTGGTAAGAAACCTTACAAGTCCTGCTTTGTAGTAAGAATTCAAACTCAAAATAGACAATCTAAGATTAGTAACTGTGCTCCACATTTAGTGAGTCTGCCTCTTAAGTTGCAAAGGCAGACAATAGATTGGCATGTCCCTCATCTTTTGCAATTCAGTCCTATCAATCTTTAGAGCACATCTCCTAAATGATTTGGGCACCAATAATTCTACCACCCTTAAAGTTGTTGAAAAATAAATCTGTGGGGGGGCGGGGAATAACAGAAAAAGTTAAAGTTTACAAGGAGAAAGTTAGTAGCACTGTGCTATTTTTTTTTAATGCATGCATCAGTTAACTATTCCTGAAGAACAAACCATCCCAAAATATAGTGGTACAAACCAACAAACATTACATTATCTTTTACATGAGGGTAAATGGTATGGTGCTGTCGATTAATGCACTGGACTGCAAAGTCTCTTTGAACTGCAAGGTCAGCAGTTCAAGCTCACCAACTGCTCCTCGGAAACCCTATACAGGGTCGTTATGGGTCAGCACCAACTCAATGGCACTTGACAACAAAAACAACAAGTAAAAAGTAATTGCTACTAGGGTTCCAGATCATACACGCATGAGTTCATTGCAAACAAAACATGCTTAGACAGGTCTCTGCTACCAGAGTATACCTGCAAACAATTTATTTCAGTAATACACATGTCTTACCATAACTTCAAAAACAAGAGCCAATCAAAACAGTCATTTCTGAGGGGATTGCTGGGCCAGTTGAATCCAAGGCAGAGAGATCAGCTCAGAAATTTATAGCAGTTATTTTTTTTTTTGGATTCTAAAGGGGTAATCTTGATAGATTTT